TAAGCAAACATTTAGATTTTGTTTTTTTGCATTTTCATTTCTGTTTCTCTTTGGGGACGATACAAAGAAATATTTAATTTTCTACCAAATGCTAATTTGCTCAATCTGTCCTGTGCAAATAAAGATAATATATTTCTATGAAAAGAAACAAGGTTGATTAGTCATACTGAGTTACGTAAAAAGCTTTTTTTTTTTTTTTTGGTTGCTTGCTGATATGATGAACAATTTAGTGTCACTTTCAGTACGATAACGCTTGTGATGTGTACCATATGCAAGTAATTCTTTAGAAGAAGATGTAAATACTGTATTATAGCGTAGACTATGTGTACGTTTGATTTATTTGTGTCTAAAAGGCCACTTTTGAGTCACATTTCAGCACTGACTGCAGAGCTATTAACAGCACAATCTTTCATCATTATCACCTGGCAGAAATTAGGATTTCCTTTAATGGCCAAATGCCTGGATGCACATTATTATTTTTTTTAATTTTATTTTTTAAATGTTTGCTTTATTTATTTTATTTATTTTTTTGTTGCTACCTGAGCGGATCAAGATTATATCAGTGGAAGTGAATGTGTGAAATGAAAGGTCTGCTGCGCTCTCTCATGTCTTCCTATGTTGGTCACTTTACATTTTATCTGTATGTATGCAAGTACTTGTCATAAAGTTTGCATGCTTCAAACTTTTTGATGACAGTTCAGTGTTTTAAGAATTATTGTAGCCCAACGTCTTCACAGCTTCTCCTCATTGCTTGTAAAGTCCCCAAAATCGAGGACTCGCTGATCTCTCCTGGTTACAAAAGGTGTAATAATTTTCTCTAGATGCTCATTTTCAACCAAATGCAGCTACTTGCTTCACTGCTTGGTTTCTGTATTCATTCATCCCTGCCTTTCCAAGAGTTTACATTGAATAAATATATCTGAACAATGTGGTGTACTGGAGTTATTTTATTCAAAGATTTTCTTTTTTTGAAAGTTCTTATCTCCCGAAGACTCCGTTATTTATTCACAACTAATTAAATTATTGAAAAACAGTAACTTTATTCATGCTTTTATATTCAGGATGTTTACTACACTCTTAACTTTCCTCTTGTCCTCTTCTGGGCCTGTCTTTCTCCAGATTATATTCGGTATGCAACAATTTGGAAATAAGGTTTACCTTAACACAAGAGGGCAGCGTTGCTTAAAAAAAAAAAAAATCTCCATCAGTGGCTTGGCTAAACCCAGATTGTGAGCCATACAGTCTGATTCTGACTCAAGCCTGTCCATGTTTATATTTTTATACACACACACACGGTGTTGCGGTTATCGACATAATGTCTTGGCTTATTAAATTCAGTTTTGCTCTTCAGCAAGTGGTCCTCTCCCTAAATTGAGAACAACTCATTCTGTGCAGTAAAATACAAGTTAGAATTAGTGCTCATCATTCTGACTCATTTATAATTTAACAGAATTATAATGATGAAAAATCTCTGCAGGCTTTTTTGGGCTTTGGTAAAAAAATTTGCGTATTTTTTGTAACTATTTGGAATAACTTCATGAGGAATGTGGTGGAGGGCTTTTCTCCCAGAATGTTTTAAAGTGAGACCCAGTACTGTGTTAAAGTAGCATCTCCCTACACCCCAGAAGAGGCTTAAACTGAACCATAATTTATCCTAGATTTATTAAATAAGAGACGCTGAACTTCTGAAGTTATCTTCCAGACCTCTGGAAAATGTATAAATCCTTTGAGATGTGTTTTGCATCATAAACTGCATAAGGACAGAAACCAGAGGTTGCTGGAAGTTTCTACATAATGAAGTAGAGCTTCTTGGTGAATTTGATCCATTGCAGATGACTGAACCCCACAGGATTGATTTCACAATACGCAGCAATATCTCATGCTGTATGCTTCATTAGTTATTCCCCCAGTCATCCGCTGTGAAATGTTGGCATATCACAGCCCACTGAAAACTTTAAACTCCATTTAAAGGGAAACTTAGAAATCACTACTTGTCTTTAGAGACTACTTTGAGGCAGCCTGCCTTTGACTGCTTTTTTCTGGTTGGTGTCTCATCTTCATTGTGGAAGGTACTTTTCTATGTCTCTGTGAACAAAGCTCGATGTGCTGTCTTTTTGTCTGCTGCGGCTCTGCAGAGAGCGCCAGTTATTGCTCTCTGAGAAACTTGAATCGTGAGAAAACCTGTCTTTGCTTAGAATAACAGCCTTACTTCTTACTCTCTAGCTGTGATGTCTCCTACTGAAAACCTGATCGGGCTGTGGCTTAGAAAATTTCAATATTTTTTTCTCAAATTTTTTGTTTTTCTACAAAGTTTGAAAGAAGCAAAATTTATACTGTAAGTGATTTAAAGTCCTACAAGCATGGATGGATGGATGGATGATTTTAATTACCAGGTAATTAGCAGGAATTCAGTTTTTTTTAAGCAGAAAAATAAAGTAATATTCTGCATGTTTTAGGGAAAGGGCCATATTATGAAGTGGCTTAGGCAACCAACCAAAGACAACCAATGATATACAACATCAGATTCAACATACTTACATATCGACCAATGAGGCACCAGCAAGAATTAGCTGGGCATATATTAACCACCTAATTAATGTGAACCACAACATTTGAACTGTTGACTGTCATATGTTTTACCCTGGTGACCGGTCAAACACTCCATAATCTGCATAGTTATATATTTAATGTTGTTGCTAGTTTTTCAGCTAAAATAACTAAAGATACTCACTACTTGAAGTTACATACAGTGTAGTTTATTTCTTCTTTACTGTAAAAAACCTGAAGTTACTTGCTACCCAAAATTACTTACAATCAAAATGTTTCTTCCTTCCTGTAAAAACCCGAATTAGTACCACCTTATCCCAGTGCACTTTCTGGTATGTATTTCAGAATAAACTACATTGAAATTCCTGGGAGTTTCCGTTTAAATCTCTGGGAATTTTAGTTTCTATTAATTATTACTGTTTTAAAGTCTTTAAGTCTTTTTTCTTATATATATTTTTATATATTTATATATTATATAAAAAGATAACAGATTTGTGATGTTCTTGGTTAAAGCAAATGAATAAATGAGTGAAATAACTTCTGCCATTAGTTCAAATGTCTAGCTAAAATTAATGTGCTTGTATACATTTTAAATAGCAGACTAGTTATAGCAACAGATAATATGAAGTTAAATAAAAAAATTGTGTTTTCTACAGCAGACAGTGGTCATAGTAGCTAAAACTACTCAATAATGGAAACTTTTTAAAACACTTAACCTAATTAAACTTAGTCAGCATCTGTTACTGCAAGTATGGGATATGCAAAATACACAAACAAATAAATAAATGAATACAAAATATAAAAATGGAGAGAAGAAAAACAACATTTAAATAATTAACAATCAATGAGTCCATCACTGATTCACTCAGTCACTTTAATTTCAGTGCAAATAAACACTTTCACACCATCAGGAATGGTGTTAATAAAGAGCAGTTGGTGCCTGCAAACAGCCCTGAGCTACACGGATGCGAAAAGAAAGTGACACAGTTCAGGTCTTCATTTATAGATGAGCTAATTTCCCCCACATAGCAGGTGTTTTTCTAACCAAACATCTTGTCTCTCTCTGTTTCTTCTTCACACTCTCTTTCCTCATCACCTCTGTCCTTTCTCTCTGTCTCTTGGGTTACAGCTCTTCAGCTGATGTTAACACATGACCTGTGAAAGCCACCTCAAAGCTGGTTTTGTACTTGTTTTAAATGGAAATTCCTGGGCTGTCTGCAGCTGTTGAGACAATAAGTTTGCCGGTTCTCTGGTGTCTTTTATGATTTTATGCCTGGTTTTATAGTTGAAAAGATCAATTCTGGCTGAGCTTTACAGTAAGACAGGGTGTCATGAAAAAGTAGTTACCACCTCCTTGATTTCTTAGGTTTTTGCATATTTGTCACAATTCAGTGCATCGTCAGCCTTGTGTGAAAAACAAATTTCCCACAATTAACTGTGATTATGCATGTTTGTTTGAAAGCTGACTTTAATTTCATTAGCCACACTGAAGCCTAATTAAAGCCACTTAAACAGAATCTTTCTGACAAAGTGAAGCAGGTAAAAGATCTCAAAAAGCATCATGCCACAATCTAAAGAAACAGCTGAGAATCAAAGTCATTGACATCAATCCATCTAAAAAAGCGTTTCATTTTTATAAGGCTCTGGGACTCCAGCGAACCACAGAGACAGCCATTATCCAAACTTTGTGAACCTTTGTGAAGTAGTGAAGCTTCCCAGCAGTGGCCATCCTACGACAATGACAACAACAGAGACTCAATGACAAATCAAAGAAACCAGAACAACATCTAAAGAACTGCAGGCCTCACTTGCCTCAGTTCAGTGTTCACAATTTAGCAACAAGAGAGAAGTGCACATCCATGGGAGAGATCCAGTATGGATAAATCACTAGTGACCAAAAAGAACACAAAGGTTCATCTCAGATTTGTAAAAAACCCATCAAATGTTTTGATGATTCCCAAGGCTTTTAGAAAATATTCTGTAGACTTAAGAGACAAATGCTGCTTTATAAAAAGAACATCATAAAGTCAAACATGGTGGTGGTAGTGTGATGGTCTGGGGCTGTGTTTCTGCTTCAGGATATAAATAGAAGTGCAAATCAGATCGTAAGGTGTCGCTCATGCATCTGCTTCACCTGCACGGAGATGGTCATGTGAGGTAATGAAGAGTGAATTATTTGTGCAACCTACAGTAAGTTCAAAAAACTGCCATTAAACTTTTTTCTCTCCAGTGCACAAAAAGCACAAAATAAGAATACAGAATCTCAACACTGGGTCTGGTGACCTTTGACCAATTATTCTGTTTTCCTCCTTTTTTAAGCAACATGACAAAGTTCAGCTTTAATCCCACGTTGTTGTGTGGGAGTCAGGGAGAGACCCCCAGGGTTAAAAATATCAACTGGTCATATGGTTACCATGGTAATGCGAACACGAAGTACCTGGGGGAGGTTTACTTGATGGATACTGATCAACCCACACACTGCAGACCACATAATTTCTCCTCATACATGGCTTCCACCCAACTATTATGTTTGTTTGATGTCTCCTCAGGTAATTGGTATGTGTTTGTCTGAGGTGGGGCCCCTGCTTTTTGTAGCTGCGGGCTGGAGGGGACATTTTATATCCCTCTAAATAAAACGGAATTTATAGCTTTGGACACTCCCTCCTTCCCGCTTTTAGACTGAAGCGATTTTGTATGCTGTTTTTTGGGGCATGATTAATTAGTGTTTATAGCACAATAGAGCTGTATGCCAAGTGCTTGCTTACTGTTGTGTTGAGTTTGTCTTCGAGATATTTTTTGGAATCTTTACCTTGAAATAAAATCGTGAATGTAGACTTTTACAGTAATTTTGTGCTATAAAAATAAAGTGAAATGAATGGACTGTTTTAGATTAGATGGATCAGACCAAACGTGAAATGCTCACTCTAGCTGCAAATATTAACAGGGAAATGTTGAACCAAGATACTATGTCTGTAGTTTTTATTTGAGCATATGGTGGGACATTAAGCGAGGGTCCTCCCTTAGGAAATTTTAAGTGTCATAAACTTAACTTTATGAATTTCTTCACCAGTGTATGCATGGAAAACAAAACACATAGTGGATTACAATGCAGTGATTCTCTCTGGTATTCGCCATCATTTTTAAGAGTAATTGTCAGCTTTTGGCGCGGATAATTACCTTTACCTCAGAAGATTCTGTGGTTAAACCTTATTTTTGCATGAATATTTTATGCTTAATATTTATATTTTGGGAGCAAATTGCTTAAGAACAAACACCTGCCTGCTCCAGAAGTATTCTTTGCTTAGTAATGTTATCGTGTTTTCCCAAAACAAACCATCTGCTTCCTTAATGTTTTACGGGGAGGAAGAGATTAGGGCAAGTGCATGTTCTAATTGTTGGGTGGATGGGGCTTGTCTTTTGGGTACAGCTGTGCTCGACAGCTACAAAAGTCTTTTAAAACAAGACTTTTCCACAAACAATACAAATAAAAATAAATAAAAAATGAGCATGTTGTATTCCATATGGTCACACTTAAGCAGTAAAGATGAAGAACACAAGTCGTTACGATCGTGCACAAATCAACCTAAACCCCACGAGCCAGCGACAGCCAGCTGCTCGCTCAGGGAGCCGGAGTTCCTCGAAACCCCCCAGAGGCAGTGGCTGGTGATCCCTCCTCACCGCCGGCCAAATCTCTCCCTTTCTCCCTCCCTTCCCTTATCTCTCCGCCCCCACCTTCCCTCTCTTCTTCACTCCCTCTGTGCCTGGAAGGACGTATGCGGATGGAGCAGAGTCGCGGCGTCTCCTGGAGCTGATCCAACCATCCCGTCTGAGGCGGTCGTTTTGTGCCCCCCGCCCCCTAGTGAGGTTTCTTGCACGGCGCACGGTGGAGAAACCAGACGGCCTTTCCCGCTCTGCGCCGTCGACCGGCAGAAAACAGCGTGCCAGGTAACGTGACGCACCACAAAAAAGAAGCTGGCACATAACTGAACTTCTCTCCCAGTGTGCCATGTGCCCACGCTTCTGAAGTAGACTTTTACCTCTGCCCGGAGAAGCCATATGAGACTTCATAGGTCGATGTCGTCATCCCTTTTCTGGGTTTCATGTTGTTGTCACTACTGATGATGTAATTATTTTTTTTTTCAGTTGGATCTGCGTTCTGCTGCTGCTGCGTCGCACCTCTCGAAGTGAGAAGACTCGCTCTGCCAATGTGCGTCCCCAGCATCGCAAACTTGGATCGTCGCCTCTTTTCGTGGAAAGACTCATCTCCACCTCTGAAAACCTTTTGTCACTGCTGACTAACGATGTATTGACAAATTGTGTGACACTGTATGGATACTTTTTTTTTTATCCCCTAACTGGCTTTTACTAAACTGTCAGACGTCAACTTTTCCCTTGCGGATGAAGCTTTGCTTGCTCTGTCTATGTGAAAGTGCGTCGGGCATAACCGGAGTGCGCACACGTTTAATTCATCGCGGCGGGAGCATGGGATTTTAAACTACAGCATGTGGAGTCGTTCCTAAGGACCGCATCGCTGCTCTCCGTGGGTGTATGGAGAAGAGCAGCCTGAGAATGACAGGCGGAACCCGGGAGGCGCCGGTGAACATCTCTCCGGCGGTAGCGGCCAACGCAGAAGGCGAGGAGATCGAGGTTTTGGAAAGTACCGAAGTCATCCCAGTGGCTCCAGAAGAAGTAGGTCTACACAATGTGGCGTCAAGTGAACACATGACCCCTGTAACCTTTTGACATTTTCACAGTTATGAATCAGGACCTTCAGCTTCTTTTTCTTTGAGCGAAGTTAAACACAGTCCCTCTAAAATTAATTTCAGAAAGTCATTTGTCCCTAAATTCAGTGGCACAACTGACAAAAACAAGCGTTTTACAAAGACACGAGATGGAATTTAAAATACTGTTTATTCTTTTGAGAGCCGAGTTAGTAAAAGCACCCAGCACTTTGCTTCATCTTTTCAAAAGACACACGCTCACAGCATACTACCTTTTACACATAATGAGGCACACTTTTGGTACCTTGTTATCTTTTGCTGCGGCTCATTGACCGTAATGATCAGATAATAGCTGCATGTGATTGCAAGACTGCAATTATGGCAAATGCGCATAGTAAAGGAAGCCCTTTTGGCCGAGATTCATCATTATCAAACAGGTGCTTCCCTCCTGTCTGGTACCTGTTTCTGAGTTTATTTTTCTTCCCATCTATTCCTCTTATTCATTGCTTCACACGCTCTTTTTCTCTTTTTACTTGTCTCAGCAATGGAAGTCTCTGTTTGACAAGGTATGTATCACAACCTTTAGTCCTTTAGGCTTGACTTTTCATATGCATGTTTCACTCATCGTGGAACTGTGTTGTCTCTGAAGGTGCTCATCTGTGTGTGAACTGTTGGTGACCTATGTCTTAATCTTTATTATCCGCTCCAAGCAACACAGATATATTAATCTGTTAAAAACGGCATTGTCTTGCTTAAAGGTCATGAAACATAGGAAAGATTTAGCAAGATCAGGATTGCAGGATTGCACCAGAGGCAACGATATTTAATATTAAAAACTCCATATTTAGTGCGCTTTAGTGTGAATTGCCCATGGATCATGACCTTATCATTGTAAATGTGCTGTAACAGTGGCTTAATCACTAACAGAAGTGATTTAAACCTGCGCTGGGGGATTTTGCAAACTGGTAAAGGAAATGACATACAAAAACAAAAAAAAAAAAACATTTAGATTTTAGAAATATGATGCAAATATTTTCTGTTCAGCTATCACAAGTGCTTACTTAATATTTTTTATAGTTTCAAAATACTGCTAAACTTTGATCAGTTCCACAAAAAAGTAGCATCAGAGTTTCATGGGGTTAATTGACTTGAATCCTGAGTCTTTTTTCCCTCCAGTCCCAGTTTATGAATTAGGATGAGTTGATAAATATATTTTCAGATCAAAATCTTGCCTAGTGCAGCTTTAAATCCTTCGCCCGCTGGGTATGACGGCATAACGTGTAACCAGGTCGAATCGCTGTCAAACCAAACTCGTGGAGAAGTGGGGGGGCTGTGGTGGGTGTGTCATTAACTGATATCGGCCCCAGTAATACAATTAGGACGATACACCTGGATGGATTGATCTGTGAGTCAGAGCAGTCTTGTAAGAAACACATGCCACCATGCACACACACATGCACAGACACACACAACCGAGAAACCCCAGGAGAAGAGAAACAGCGACTGGCTGATCATGCAAGCAGCAGGTCTGACAGGACTGACAGACGGCAAACGAGCCCCCCTCTATCACACAAACACACGCACACTTATGCCCACACAGCTTGCAGTGTGTGCGACTACTGCATCACCTGCTCGGCATAGGGCCCCCCACTTTCTCATGTGGGGAATTGTGTGCATATTTATGTGTGTGTGTGCGTGAGTGCAGTGGTCAGCTGGGATTTTTAGGGTTGAGACTGAGGCTCGTGTCAGCCTCACTTTTAAGGGGGAGACAGAGGTCCCGTGGGATTATGGTGTGTGTGTGTAAGTGATGGCGGCATTAAGTGGGCCTCTCAAGCCGCTGTCTCCATGTGTGCTGCACAGCTTGGAGTTTCCTCAAGTGGGCGTCGGTCAGAAAAAAGCAAATGGCAGGGTCTCTACTCACCGTGGTAGCAACAAATATCCTTTCACTCTTTCAGTCTCCTTTCCTTCTTGGTTCACACAATGAGTTGGTCCATTTGTCAAGGGGCTGACCTCGGGGACCCCCAGCTTCTGTGAAGCAACAAGAGAAATGATGGGCCACTGAAGACCAGGAAAAGAAGGCTTTTAATCCACCCTGGCAGCCCGTGTTACTGCATGTGGAACAAAAGATGAAAGCTACTGAAAAACAAAGAGCAAGATCCAAAGATTTATGAGTCTAATGTAAAAATACACATTTCAAAGTTCATCTGTATGTGTGGAAGTCTAGTTTCCTGTGTTGGATACTTTATTTGGCAAATATAAGATGTGAATGAATAGAAATATGTATGGTTCAGAGATGTGGAACAAGAGAAGAGAGGGGTGTGACATGCAACAGGTCACCAAACAAGTTTTCAAAACAAAGAAAAGTCATGACTTAGTGGACTGAGCGGTAAGAGGTCAAATCAAGTACAGGTAACAAAGTCCTTTCTTCACGTTTATAACATATTATCATCGTATTTGAGGACAGCTGAGAACATTTGTCGATTCTAAACGAAAAAAAAGAGCAGTCTTTCTTGGCTGACAGGTTGTATACATTTGTTTCTTTAAAAGATATCCCAGTATGTAAACTTGAAAATGCCTCACGAATGAAAATCTCACCTTCTAATAACTAGATGTTACAAATCAGCTAAAAATACAGCGTCTAATGTTGAGGACAATGATGCATCTTTTCTGTTAATCAGTCCTGACACCTCTGTATGGTCTCGACAGCGCGCATTTTATCCTGTCATCTCTCTCAGTGATGTTTGCACAGCAAAGAAACTACAGGATCATTTTCTCTCATTCTTTTCAGCCTCACTCTTTGGCTTTGCTCCCAACTCTTTAAAGCAGTTTGAGCTGTGTAAAAAAAAACAACCCTTTGCCATCCTATCAATTTTACCAGCTCCCACGTGACTCTGTACATACAGCTATCATTTCTGGATTTCAGACCATTGGGGACAGGAATCAAAGTGCTGCGTTGCTCTGTTTCCCCCTCACTCCTCTCTCCAGTCCCTGGAGAGGATTTTGTTGCTGTATAAGTGCTTTCTTTCTCTGCACACAGGAAGCAAGAGAGCAAACCTCAGAATGCTTTGATTCATGTTTCCCATCGCCTGAAACAAACATCGAGACTCAACACAGACACAGGCGATATCTAATGAAGCAGAGGAGATGCTGTTAGCGCGGACAGCAGCTGCACTGCCCTCGCTCTCCCTCATAATCAAAGTGTCCCAGCCTCTGTTTGTCCTCTAGACACACAAATCTGAAAAGGCTGCAGTCATTGTAGCGTGATTACACACAGCACATGTCATCAGAAGAAAAAGAAAGGGCCCTTTACAGATTCTTCTTTCTACCCTGACTGATTTGCACACCAAAGCTCAGATAATAATGTTTCTTTTTTTTCTTTTTTTTTTTTTGAAGGTTTCTGTGGATTTAATCAATCCAGTTTATGTCTAGGATTTATTTGATAAACCATATTAAGCATGTTTAAATCACACGGTAAATTGGCGGAAACACATTTGTTTTGCTCAGCCAGGGAAGGCACATCAGATGGCTTTTTATGTGTGACTGGGAGCGCTAAAGATTTCTTTTTCAACCCGCTGGTAAAAAAAGTGTCTAAAAAGCGTCTCTCTCCTTTAGCTGCCTTGACCTAGATGGTGATTTTCTTACACTATTGATTGCGAAGAGCTACGTACACACAGCAAAGACTCAAAGTTATTATTTACCGGGGCTGGGACTATATCTGCGTTTGCGATTGCTGATAGTAGAAGTCCCCAGATGTACTGATTGCGACGTGGCTCAGCTCAAATGAGATGAAGCACCTGTAAAGGCAGGATATATACAAACCATAGATTGTCTTCCTCTTCTTTAGAAACTTTTCTTTAGCTAACTCTCGACTGAAGACGCACAACAAGATTGTTTGTCAATTCTCATAAATTGTCAGTGAATACTAATACATCTTTGATTCTGTGTGTGTGTTTGTTTATGTGCAATCCATAAGTGTGTCCACAGATGCCTTTGTGTTGACAGCATGCTCCCAATGCCACTTCGAAAATCCCCCAGGCATGCGCCCACAGGAGCTTAGTGATTAAACACTTTCACATGTCTGCATACTTTCCATGAAAGTGTTTCCCTTTTAACTTCATGGTTGGTGGCAAAGAAAATCCCAAAACAACTGACTGGAGCCACATAAATCAATGTCTTATAGTTCTTTTAGGAAGGTTGTCTAGCTGGGGAGATACAGTATACAGTACATGTCATTTCTTTTTATTCTTCCTGGAAAATGGGAAGTAGATACAGTTATTTATCAAAACATGAGGAAAAAACAAAGTTTGTTCAGTTCTAATGAGCTTGAAATTAGTATGTGGTATGACTGCCTTTATTCTTCATCACAGCCTGAACTCTTCTTATTTCTGGAAGTAGTCTTCAGGAACAGTTCTCCGGGCCTCCTGAAGGAGATTCAAAGCTCTTCTTTGGATGTTGGCTGCCTTTTTTCTTTCACATTTTCTGTAAAGATGATCCCAGAGAGGTCACAGCTCCGGGGAGGCCAATCAATGACTGATATTGTTCCATTGTGTGCTTTTCTGTCCAGGTATGTTTTTACTGCACTGGCAGTTCGTTTGGAATCATTGTGCTGAAAGATGAAGCCATTGCCAATCACACTGTTTACAGATGCTGTTGCATTTGGTCAAATCCGAATTCATAAATCCATCAATTTCAAAAGATCCCCAACCCCACTGTCTAAAATGAACGAGCCTTCACCGTGTTTTCCAGATGGCTGTAGACTCTCACTGTTGGGCTTCTCTCCTGACCTCTGATTATTTGAACCAAGAATGTCAAATTTGGATTCATCACTCCATAAGACCTGTTACCAGTGATTTTCAGTCCAATTTGTGTGTCATTTGGCATCCCTCAGCCTTTTCTCCCTGTTTCACTTCCTTAAGAATGGATTCTTGACAGCCATCCTTCATTTGGGAGCATTTCTGATGAGGCTTCAGTGAACCATAGATTGATCAACTGAAGGGCCAACTCTAGCAAGGCCTTTGTTGGATTGTTATTATTATTTTTTGTTGCTGTTTTTCTTTTGGATGTGGCTTGAAGATACTGCTCATCTTCTGTAGTGTCTTTTTTTCACCTTCACATGTCCAGTTTCCTCAAATTATTTAGTGACACGCGGCACACAAAAATATTGATCAATGGCTCTTAAACAATCATGTTTTTGGTGAAGAAAAAGTATCAGATGATGTTATTTTTGGAATTTAAAAAAATAGATTCAGCTAAATAATTGGAACACATTTTGTGTTTTAGCGACATGCTGCAAATAACGAAATACCTAAATACACAGAGATTGGTTCTTTGCTAAGTTGTCTGTTAAGTCTAGAAAAAAAGGTTCATCCCTTGATTTAGGTTCCTTTTTTGTGCTTCAATGATTCACAGCTCAGTGTAAAGTGATTTAACAGTGAAAATGGCCAGGTATAGGGATTGGCAACACGTTCTCACTTGAACATAAGCAAAGAAGTGGATATGTCAAAAGAAAAACTTCAGGAAAGTGTGGAGAATTATTGCTCAACAACAATAAAATGACAAGCAAGTC